AGTATTGCAGCTGAATAGTCATTTATGCAACAAAAATTAGGAGAGCAATCATGTATCTCTAAAATATAAGAGGTGGGATCAGGTTCCATGAAGGAGTGAGTACCCCCTGTCGACTTGTAACACCCGCCGTGTGCTCCTTGTCATTATCGGTAAATAACGGAATAATCAGTCGACAATTCAATGTGTAAATAACTGCCTATCAATTAGTTATAAAACCTCAGTCAGCATATGACTAAATGATAAATTGTAATTGCTAACATGGTCAAAGTTACCAATGTCAACCATAGAAATTAGAACTTACAAAATGATGACTTTAAACGAACTTACAAAATTATGACATTAAATGAAACTGCTGATATTCATGTTTCATCAATTTGTTTGTCAAAAGCTTATATCGTTCTGGAAAGTTTTCATACCTACAGTTTTTCATGCGTATCGAGTCAAATGAGAAATATAAACCCTGTGTGCAGATTATAAAGGTATATGTATTGATGCATAAGTAAAGGAAGTTGACATTGGAAAGTTATAGAACCCACGTTTATCATACGTCATTGCAGTTAGGTTATCATTAACGTATTTTTCTGAAAAATATATCCAAATATTAAGCAAATAAGACAAACTCTACATATTTACAATTTCAAGTGCACTGTAATAATCGTATCGACGTATTAATAAAATGAAGAATATGGAGATAACAAACATTATTCAATGAAAGATATGAAGATAACGAACAGTATTCAATATCAAAGTCCATAAAATAATTCAAAATAGGAACAGAGAAAAGACAGGCCGCAAAAAACATCCGAGGTGGAATCAAGTTCCACGGAGAAGTGAGCATCCGATGCCGACCGGTCACACCCGCTGTGTGCTCCTTGTCATGATCGCGAAATAACGAAAAATCCGTCGTCAATTCAGTGTATAAATAACGGAATAACAATAGGTATGATAAACGAAAGTCAGCATTTAACTAAATAATAGATTGTATTTGCTGACAAGGTCATTGTATTGACTATATAACCTACAAAAAGATGACTTTAAACGAGAAAGAACTATTATTAATTGATTCTACGTTGTCTATATATCTAAATGTCGTGTAAAATGCCACAGCAATTTCTTTCTCTTTCTAATTGATAAAATATAAATTCTGCTTGATAGGAAAAGAAATATGTGTCTGCTCATAACAGGTCACCATTGGTACCAATGAGAATTCAAACAGATTATATTTAATATCAACTTCAAAGTATTTGTGTGTGCAATCTGAATTTTTAAAACAAATTAAATAAAATATATAGTGACAAGAAACTGTATTTAAGCTCAAAATTCCATTAAACAATACAAAATAAAAGCAAAGCGATCACAGACCCCCAAAACAACAAAAGTGGGATCAGGTGCCATGGTGGAGTGAGCATCACCTGCTGATCGGTAACACCAGGTATATTATACCCTTTATTTCAGTGCTCCAATAGTTAAAATAATTCGCTGCGGTTTTTTAGCCATCCGTTAGAAAGGTCCAAGAACAAAGTCGATGTCGATATCGACGACATCGACAATGTTATGTCGATATCGTATCGATAATAATGAGCACTGTTAATTTGAAATACTTTGTACCATATGTGAGACTTTGTGCTATGTCGATATCGACGATATCGACAATAACATGACGATTTCGTATCGATATCGATCATATTTGTAGAATTTATTTTCACAATGATGTATAACATAATTTTACAAGGTTACAAGTGATGTCAAATTCATTCATTATTAGCATCAATATCAATTAAAATTATGATTAGGAAAGGGTTAGTGGTTGTTATTGTTTTAGATTAGGTTCAGAGTAAGATGTTCGGTGAGGGTGAAAGTTGTTAAATATGTTTTAACATTCATGATTCGATATCGATACGATATCGTCGATATCGACGATATCGACAGTAGGGTAAACTGATTAATCAGAAAGTAAATAGGCACAAGCGTTGCATGAAGAAACAGAACTTATTGTCATGGGATATGTTAAAAATAAAAATTTTGTATTTAATACAAAATTCATGATTAATTAGTTCACAACTATATTATTTCGTTGAACTTGTGAAATATCTCACGCCATTACATCTATATAAACCGAAATCCCAGTATTTAGGGTGATGGTTGGTTAAGTAATATATTTTAATAATCATGATTCGATATCGATACGATATCGTCGATATCGACGATATCGATGGAAGGTACAATCTTCGTTAAAGTAAAGTTATTAAACATAAATACACATGCAAAGTAACAGGGACGGTATTTACAAAGAGCTGAGCAAACATGATTCGGTATCGAAGCGACATCGTCGATATCGACGATATCGACACTACAGGGAAAGTTTTATAAAAGATAGTTTTCAAATAACACATGTTAATAAAATACTAGTATTGTAGATGAAAACCATAATTCTTTAAGCAATCATGATTCGATATCGGCACGATATCATGGTTATTGACGGTAAGGAAGACTTCTTAAAACAGAAAGATTTGTAATAAACACAGAAGGATAGAGAAATATTATAGTTAACTATAAAAAAGTAATGTGTCGATATCGTAACTACATCGTATCTTGGACATAACCCCAGACGACACGTTTCTCAAAAATATATAACTTTTCCTAAGAAGACTTGAAATTGTCATTGAAGTTTATCTACTTGAAGAAATTTCCTCACAAAAACTTAGGGTACCTTACCAGGCATTTGGACAAGATACCCTAGGGTCACATTTCTTATATAACCCTTATAGGTAATTTTCTGAATGGCCTATATTACAAGTTTTGGTGTACTTCTATTTAAAAACATTTTGAAAACTATGTAGAAATCAGAGGAGAATGACAAATATGAATATTTCTTTATGCAATACTAAGAGATACAAATCATATTTTTTGAGGAACGTGTCATCTGACCCTAAAGTAGCAATACTTCAATGATAAATTTGTAAAAAAAAAAAAATATGTATTATTGAAGAAAGTGTCACCTGGTCTTGTAGAAAAAAAAATTAGATCATAATACATGTAATTACAAAATACTTTTTGACAATTTCCGGTTTGATTCAGACTTTTAGGTCGTCATCGCTGGTTAAGTTTAGAAGCCACGAAACTCTATACTTTATTTCAAACACCACAGGTGTTTCTGACGGATTTTTTAGTTTTCAATTCTATTTAAGAACATTTGTCCAAATTGTATTATTCAAAAGTGTTCATGGTAATTGCTTATTTTTTTTTATAAATTGTCTTCCAGTGTCAACCAATAGTGACGTATGCAAAAATAAAAGGCATATAGCATATGATACCCCCCGTAAATTAAAGAGCTAATTTTTTCCTGTTTTTTTTTTAAATTTCATTTCTAGGTTCTTAAGAAAATGCGTAGGGAAATTGACAATTTTAAAAAAATTGAAAATCGGACAAAAATGTCAACGGATATGATTTACCTAAAAATAAAAAAAAAATACTTTGGAAGAAATAATAAAAAAAATTCATCGTTCTTGGAAAATAAAATCATCTTAATAGGTCGGATATTTTCCGAGAAATAGATTGTTATGAAAAGGGAATGATAATTATACTAGGAAACAGAAGAGAAACAGTTCTTCGGAAAATGCTGAAAAGTTCTAAAAGACCAAACTCAGATTGCATGAAAAAGGACTTTTAACATTTATTTTAAACATTTATTTATTATCAAGGTAGTCAAATTCAAAACCATGATATATATCCTCGGTTTTAAGTTTCGCTCGAAATACACATGCCTTGTGCTGGTCGCTTGGTAAAGTAATGAAACAAATATACACTAGACAAAATTGCTAACGCACCACCCAAGATAATTGATATTTTTCTTTTAAAAAGACCTGCTTATGATATATTTGATACATAAATATGTTACTTTTATAAAAAATAGGGCATATTAATGTCAAATCTTATAAGTAACTAAAAATATTTACTGAAGTGTGACCAATTCATAAAAAATCAAAATCGTGTCTGTTCCATTTTCGAAGATTTTTTTTTTGCTTGTTTGTTTTATTTATGGTCTTTACATTTTTACTAATTAAAAACACTGAAAAAAAAAAGTTAAACTGTGTGCGGCATTTGACGCTAGAAGAGTGTGCTATAGCAGACAGTATGGCGGCTGCAGGGGGCTTTTTAAGAGGAATCTATAAAAAATGAAAACAATAAAAAGCTTATGAATTCCATTCATGAAAAATTGTTGCAAATAAATTAACAAACATAAATGTTTACTATCGATAGCCACGGCATTAAATAAGCGGCATACAATTAGTTGAAAATAGTTCCACAAAACTGGGTCAACCGGAAGTTGAGTGGATATGGGATGGACACTAAGGCACCAGAGGATTACTAAGCAATATGGGAGTCAATGGCTGTTTAATATTTGATTTTTAACTAAGGGACTACTCCTGTGGCAACCTCACAGACCAGTAATCAAGAATTTCATATCTGGGCACAAATGGTACGCAGTGCACAGATGGAAATTGGTTTTCGGTCAAAAAAATTATTCAAGGGTCTTTTCATGATACCAAGACATTTGTCAATTCCACTGTTTTTTTAAAATAGTTGCATATTATTTACACTTATACCGATCTGGCAAACGTTCAATTCGCAAATCAGAATTAACAAGTGGTGCGTTAGCAATTTTGTCTAGTGTAGAGATAACGAACAGTATTCAAGATCAAAAGTCTATAAAACAACACAAATTAAGAGCAGAGCAAACACGGGCCTCCAAAACATCAAATGGGATCAGGTACCATGGAGGAGTGAGCATCCCCTGCCGACCTGTCACACCCGCCGTGTTTTCCTTGTCATGATCGGGAAACACGGACAAATCCGTGGCAATGGCAACATCTTACATTTAAGTGAAACTAACTCGATACCTTCCGATCACAAAAATAGCGCTTTACTACTAGGTTAGATCGATCATATGTGTCTTTATTTATGATTATCACACAACACTCATATAATAAAAACAGGAATTTGATTATGAAGAGTGTTCAGAAATTTCATAAATGAAAGCCCTTCACTATTATAATTCTATATTATCTATAATGTAACATTATAAAATTTTGCTTATACATGTACGCATGATTGTATATATTGCGAATTTTTGAGGGTCAATGGTGCATTTTGAATTAAAAAAAGGGTTTGGTTTATTTAAAGCATTTTAACGAGGCCCGATCTAGCTGGAAATCACGAAAACGGACTTTTGAGTTTGAATACTGTTACTGTTAGTTACATCTATTTATTTAATTTTCATCCTTTTTAATTCGCAGAGCCCCAAGAATATTTAATATAAATTAAATTGTGGATTCGGAATATCCACTTAAAATTTACACCATGGAAAAAATGACACAACAATACGACTTGCAATTCTGATCGAAAGATATGCATGTAATTGAATTCTTTTTTAACACCAGAAAGATCGAATATTGTATCTATTAATTTTGATTTGTTGTCGTCAAGTGAGCTTAATGATACCAATTGATATTCTAAACTAATTACTGTAAACGTTGCACTTCCATGAAATAAAAATCATTTTGAAATTTTGCACCTTATTATGTAATCTTATTCGATCATCATGTAATGAATAAATTACGTTAAGATATCCTTTGTGTTCATTTAAAGATTATAAAACGTATTCCTTGACTGCACTATTTATAACCTTTCTGGTCTATTACGCATAAATATGTTCTTGCTTGGCATTGCTAAACATGTTTGTTCTTCTTACAATTATTATTATATATATTTTTTTAAATTGGCGCTGTCTTGACCTTGATCTACAAAAGCGCTGAAAAGGTACCGGAAAAAGACCATATGAAGATTTTCCGAGAATTTTGCACTAGTGCTAGTAAATGTGCACCACATGCATATATAAACCTTATTGAAATAGAGAGACTAAATAAACTGCATAATACGCATCAAATAAATATACCTATCAGAAAGACCATGTTGTCTTTAAAATGTTTGCTGGCGTATTGGATATTGTTGTTCTTTGTTTTCCGCTGCATTGTTCCTAGTTTAGGCGTCAGTTGTAAGGGGTTTGGGCACCACAATCCTCCCGATGATTGGTAAATATGTACAGTGTATATTTCTCTTTTTTATGAATGAATTTACTTTATATATAAACACATATTTGAGGAATTACTGTATATTTTTTGTTTAGTTTCTTAATGTAATCTTGCGTGATAATTTGTATCAACACCGAAGGTGTTTATGCATAAAATTTTCGCGCAACCCAATCGATTGATCATCGTCATGAAAACAAAACAATCGGACACTTATTTCTTATATTTACATGCTCTTGATTCCACAAATTCACGTGCTACAAGCCCCGCTTCTTTCTCTATTTGACCCACCCTGCACGTGATTTTTTTTAACAACGACTATCGATGAACTAGTAGATTTATATAGAAAGAAAGTAATTTTAATATTTTTATTTTATCTCTGAGAAATAATGGAAATGTAAACAATAGAGATATATAAATTAAAGCGAATACAGTTTCAACATAAATGTTACTTTCGCTGTAGTTTTATTTGCTAGTATTTTTTATGCGCCCGAAACGAAATATCCGATGCGTATATTGTTTTTGTCCTGTCTGTCTGTCTGTTTGACTTTAACCTTTGCCATAACTTTTGAACCATGAATGACAGACACTTCATATTTAATATGCATACTCCACTTATTAAGCTCTTTCAAATGACATCAAGGTTAATGACCTTGTGACCTTGACTGTGACCTATATGCTAAAAATAGTTTATTTCTGCAAACTTTAACCTTTACCATAATTTTGAACCATGAAAGATAGAGACTTCATATTTGGTATGCATACATCACTGATTAAGTTCTTTTAAATGACACCATGGTCAATGAACTTGTGACCTTGACTGTGTCCTATATGCTAAAAATAGCTTTTTCAAACCTTCACAATAACTTTTGAACCATGCGAGATAGAAACTTCATTGGCATGCATATTTCACTAATCAAGTTCTTTCAAATGACACCAAGATCAATGACCTTGTGATCTAGACTGTAACCTATAAGCTAAAAATATGTTTTTTAACTTTGTTGTCGCCGGCCAAATAGTGTTTCACAAACACATCTTGTTTTATCTTACAATTGAAATGCGGTTTCAGGTTTGTTCTGTACAAACTTCCCAGGAAAATAAATGATGAGAATAGACTTGTTCAGAAGGGAAACGCCTTTATTTACATGACCTCAAATCAGCAGAAGTGGGCGTTTTCTGAAATTGGAATTGATGAAAAATACACACCAATATACAATACACTCCAACAAATATATGTAAGTTGGTTAATAATCTGAAATGCATATATAAAAGAAATGTGTTGTCTCATGCTTAATTATTCATTACCAACATGAGAGTTTTTCTTGAAGGTATCATTTTTACAAAGTTTTTAAAAATATGATACTTGTAGAAATAATGCAATGATGAATGTTTTGCTGTGTTCTTTTATGCAAATTTAAGTTCAAAGCATCAACAATATATTTATAATTTTGTTAAAGTATTACAAGAATGAAGATAAATTTCTGACATTTATCTACAAGCTCTGATGATGCAAATGTCTTACTTATATTTACATTTGTATATCTTTTCTGTGATAACTATTTAAAAGTAAAACGATTTCTTAGTAATATATCCTCATTGTAAATTTTGTAAAGTAAAAGGTAAGTGCTTGATATGCATATCGTCTTGTGAGGTTGTCTTTGAGTTTTAGGTCAGTTAGCGGAGACTATTGGACTACACATGGGAACCCTCTTGTTTTTTTAACCAAGTTCACAAAGTAGACAACATTTTGTATCTACAAGTCTATGTCATATATAAATATAAAAATAAGAAATCATTATCTAATAATTTATTTGGTATGCAAAATACATTAACGATAGTTGAGATAATTTATGCATTACGGACTTTACGTTATGCAAATTATATCCCATTTCCAACTATAATTGATACACAGGATGGTGAAACTGACTTGCAATCAGAATGTAACTGTTCTAAAAATAAATTAATTTATTTCCAAATGTGCAAATAAACCCCTTTTTGAATCAAAATTGAAACATATTTTAAGTTTGATCTGCTTGAGAATAATTTAGTACAACATGGAGATTTTGACTTAAGCGTAGGAAGTTTCTTGATCCTGGGACCTAATATTCTTCAACAAACCAGATAGGGATTCCTTAAATAATGTACACGGCACAAAGAATATACTATTGGAAACAATATACAACCTTATTTATATTTCTTTTGCAAACACTTGCCAATATTAAAATTCAACTTAAGGTAAATATCTACATTGTATGATAAACAATTATAAGAAATATCCTAAAACAACATTCTATAATCAAATTGAATGTTGAATTTCTATTCTTAGGATCGGCCTAATAACTCAGGGTTAGACTTTGGAATGTATAATGACCAACCTCCAAATACGGAAAGAGTTGCAACCATAGCAGGACAAACGAAAGGTTTGGATGCTTTCTGTTATCAAGCTAAACAACCATCGCTTACTGTGAAATCATCAATTTTTCGAGGGTTTAATTTTAGTGGTTTTCAAGGTATGAAGATAAAGGGTTTTTTCACAGATATAATTACACAATAATCCCCCATCCACGAGATAAAATCTCCAAACCACGAAAATTTGACAGCAAGAAAATATGTGATTTTACGGTATTTCACATTTGTCTCAGATGATATGTATCTTTTATTTATCTAACTCGTAAGGTATTAAATATAAGGTGTGACTTTAATATGGAAATATATTTTTTATTTAATCTTAAAGAAAACTCATTAACAATATTTCTGACATATTTTATCAACAAACATACCGTCCGTTAATTTTTTTCAGGTGCGTTTGCTTTTGATGAACTTGGAGGCTTTTGGATGATTACAAGTACTCCTCGTTTCCCGATGCCCCACAATTCAAAAAACACTTATGTTTTTCCAGAGAGGTTTTTGGAGAGCAGTCAAATAATCATCTGCATATCATTGGACAAGGATCAGAAACAAAAATTGAAGAGTAAGGAGACATATTTCACATTTGCTAATTGTAAAATCATTTGAAGAGTTAAACACAAATACTTTTCATTAAACTAATTGACAAGCATAGATGATTAGTAATTACTTTGTCTCAAGTTAATCGGTTAAAAATATCACTGTTATCTTGTGTGCTTCTCCTAAAGATTTAAATACTTGCACCTACATACCACCATATTGTCAATTTAAAAAAAACAAAACAAAAATAATAATCAAATTTAGTTTTTAATGTCTATGCAACTTTTACATTTCAGATTCAATCTTTCGAGTGACAATACCGTATAACTATAGTGGTGTTTGGGATATCCCCGAAAGAACTCCACCCTCATCAGATATAATGAGTATTCATTATAATGCTTTTATTGCGATTTTAATACAAATTTTCTGTCTCTGGGTGATAAGCATTGATAAAATAAAAGCTTATATGATCTCAATTGTATTACAAATTTAAAAATATTTGGTTTTTTTTTGCATTTACATTTATATACACATATGTTTTCAATAATTTTTAAACAATGTTTTAGTTGAAAATGTGGGAACGGGATACATTTACTTTACAAAGCATAGAAGAACTGAAAAAGGTACAATTTTTTTTTTCAAAATACTGGTGAATATTTTTTCTCTACTATGATAATGTCTGTATATGTGTATCATTTTCCAATTGCCTATTTCACACCCTAAATCGCTTGCAAATTATCTAGTGAACAAAACTTTGCTGGATGATTGGATTTCATCCTTTTTTATGGACGGTTACCGACTGCAAACAAGTACAAGCAAACAATAACCGATAAAATGCATATATATTAAATTAAAAAAAAAGAATAGAGCGGATTGTTGAAAAAGGGATCCTTTCTTTAGAAAGAAAAATAATGTTTTATTATAGTATGTTCTTAAAGCATTGAAATGATGTGCTTCTAAATTACCTTCTTATAAAATTTGCTGAAAGTTTTTTCACTATGGATAACAGATTTACCTTTCCAATTCAAACATGCGCAATTTTGATTATTAATCTGAACACTTCTAGTATTTCTCATTTTATTTTAGTTTTCATTCACACAATTAATATTGAATTGTAGAGATTTTACACCTTGAAATCTCAAAAAGCTCTATATGAAATAAAGTGAAATAATTCCAATCTTCATTGTATCTATTGAATTCCTGTGTTTTGATTGGACGAAACACGTTTAAGAAAATTTTTACACATCGATAAATTTTTTTTTCAATCAGAACTACTTTTTTGACTAAGCTTCTACATGTAGTTTATCGTATAAACAACGAAAGCAGTTATTTATTGTCTGTTTTGGATAAATTATAAATACAAGAAACTTCAAATTTAATTAATTAAAACAAAACTGGTGACATGCTAGGCTGCCCAGCTGACGGACGCCATGAAAATGTTAATGTCACTGTTCGATCACGAGTGTGAATTTTAAAAATCGCTGTCTCAACGTTCATAATACGAAGATAATCAACTCAGTTTGTATCGTTTAGACAGGGAAAAGAAACATACATGTACCTCAAACTCTTGCCCTATAAGCATCATATTCATATTTACTTTCTATATTGTTCCTCGATCTTTGAACAAACAAGTGCAAATCGAAGGCCTCGTCGGTCTGCAACTTTCGCTATGAGAGTTGTCGTTTATGTCAACATGGCCATGGTCAAGGACGAAGTATTCTGAAGTAAACTCGTAATTACGATATTTGTTGACTTAAACAACATTCGATAAGTCTTTATACATTTTTACATTTATTTATTGATTGTTTTGACAATTTAAGTTGAACTCTATCGAAATTCATTTCGATAACGTTCCTTTGCGGTAAAATGTATTCCTACGCCGTCCAGAACTAATGGATTGTATGGAGGCCTCAAAGAGAAATAATTTGAATATTTTTAAAAATTCGATATTGGAATTATAAGAATTAAACGTTCTTTTTGAAAAATTTATCGATGTGTAAACTCTTGACATTTTACTCACAAACTTAACATAAAAGTGCTTCAATTTCATGCCATAGTCCATGTATTATGAGTAGGGTCCCATATTATCCGATAGTGAAATATGCATTGTATTCATTCAATAAACACATTTTCATAATTATGTACTCGACAAATCAACATCATATCATTCCTACTTATTCTAAATTTTTCAACATGTTTTTGAAAAACGTTTGCCAGACGTAGATTAAGTTTATAGGAAATGACAGTTCATCAGTATCACCATAGAACTTACGAAATGAGTTAAAAAATAGATCATGTAAATTTTCGTTTTATAGACATTAAGTTTAACAAACAATTTACATATATTTAACTTTCTTCAATTTCATGTTAGTCCATGTATTATGTGTAGGTATTAAAGTTGTGAAATATGCATTGTATTCAGAGAGAGAGAGAGACAGAGAGAGAGAGAGAGAGAGAGAGAGAGAGAGAGAGAGAGAGAATTCTAAATTTTTCAGATGTTTTTCATTTGCCAGACGTAGATTAAGTCGCAAGGAAATGACAGTTCATACGACACCTAGAACTTCAGCTGAGTTAAAAAATAATCATGTAAATTTTCGTTTTTGTAATGGACATTAAGTCTGTGTATATACATATGTTAAACAGGGTGTGTTTGTGTGGATGTGTAGGTGTAAAGTTGTGAGAGGGTTTGCATTGGAGAGAGAGAGAGAGAGAGAGAGAGAGAGAGAGAGAGAGAGAGAGAGAGAGAGAGAGAGAGAGAGAGAGAGAGAGAGAATCTTAATTGTTAATTACTATTCATGAAAGTTGAAGTCGTCATTTCAATTACGAAAAACTAATTATTAAAAAATAATCATGTAAATTTTCAAAGACATATAACCTGTGTGTATACGTACTATGTGGGTGGATGGGAGAGAGAGAGAGAGAGAGAGAGAGAGAGAGAGAGAGAGAGAGAGAGAGAATAAATAAAACATTACTTTTAAACTCTTACAGATGCGACAAGTAAGACTGTTAATGTTCATGCTTCCACTGCCAAATCCTCATGTATTACAATGGATGTCTTCATCTGACAGCTCAAAGTGGGCGGTGACAAAGGATTTCATATGCATTGGAGATCTGAACAGAAATGTAATTTTAAAATTGGCAAATAATCCATATCGTTAATGACTTAAGGGGAAGGAAAACTACATTGATTGAGTAATCAATATTTTCAAAGTAATTTTGTAAATTTGTTTTGCTGATTAGAAACCTTTAATAAAAAACGATAATTAAATTATTAAAGGAGCAACAATTGAGCCGAGGAGGGGGACTTCTTTGTATGAGGAACCCCGAAGTTGCAGCCCAGTTTGAATCTCTGGTAGCATGTTCTTCTGTACTAAATGAAGATGTTTCGTATGTTGGTTATATGGTTGAAGCTGTAGCAGATATGTTCTTTTGTTGTTTCTGGTCACACAACTACTATGAAGATAGGTAATAATTTTGAGTATGCCTCAAGTTAACAGACAGGTATTGTTTTTTAATAAGTGATGGAATCACTGTCGAGTTTGTTTGGTACATGTATGTAAGGGCATCGAAGACGTGGGAAAATCAATTTAAGAAATCATGCAAATCCCGTTACAACTGTTTTGATGTCGTTGGCATAGCCAAAAAACTAGACAGTAGTGATATCTAATATCAAGAAATACAGTATCTAGTATTCTAGTTGTTTTCTTTGCTAACTCTTTGAGAGTTAGGTGAATTGATTTCTTGATAATCACACCTGAAAGAAAATTTCTCCAGGTGAACGGTCAGGAATTTTATACACATGAAAATCTCATGCAGCTTTGTGTACTTTTTCTGACGTCAGTTGGCAAGGACTCTTAGAAATACCCTAACAGGCCTTTTGTATTCTATATTTAATATTTTTTTCTCATATAGTAGTATATATTAGAAATATATTTTTGTCTATACCATTGTCGATGGATTGTTTAAGAAATCACTGTCTAGTTTGTTTGGTATTCCAGAGCATTAACGATAGTTGGATATAAATAGCGTGCTAAGCCTGTGTGCATAAATTATCCCACAATTCCAACTGTCGATGATGTCCCTGGCATAGCCAACGAACTTGACAGAGATTCCTTATAATTAATTTGAACATATTTTATTGACAATATTTTAATGTGTCAAAACGATTCCTTAATTATAATTACGTTTTTATGTGATATAAAAGCTGCAGGGGATTGACCTGCATATCTGGCATTTGGTTTTTCACTGATCTAAATTCACATTTGAATAGCATTATTTATCAAGAACATCAACTCATTTAACTTTCAAAAAGTTAAAAAACAATCAGAAATGTGAATATATTTAATAAATCTCATACCAAATTTGTCTTAAAGTTATATATCATGTAAAATCTTGTTATGCTTCCTCTCAGATTATCTTTAAAATCATTACCCAACTTTTTTCGCATAGAGTACAAACGATTTATAGCGTAAACGTACAAAACTGAAATAATTCATTTTCTGAAGAAAATTAGTATACACTTATCCACTGGTTGTGAGTGGGATAGCTCTTTTATCAAACCCTTGACAGGGACTATTCCCTAGTTCCCTGTCGCGGGTTTAATAAAAGAGCTATCCCACTCACAACCATTGGATAAATGTTTTATTATACTGATGTAAAGTACAGTTTTTGAGGTTTGACTTTTTTTGAGTAAGATAATACTACAAGAATAATCTGACATCATGATGACGTCACAATGCTCCTCACGTCATCATGACATCATCAGACAATATATTTATCGCTGGAAATCAAAATTGGTGGCAAAAATTGCATGAAAATTTTCCGAGGGTGGATTAGTTAACACCTGCCAATTTCAAAATTCAACTTAAGGCAAATATATCTACCATGCATGATATTCAATTATAAGAAACATCCTAAAGCAACAATTTTCTATCATCAAATTAAATGTTGAATTACTATTCTCAGGATCGGCCTAATAACAAGCATAAATCAAATCATATAATCAGATCATAAATATGTCCATTACAAAAACTATACCCCGGGGTATAGCTTTGCTATCTTTGATAGTCATTTTACCTTCTGAACTTTATATAGGAAACATTTTAACAGAAGTATAATAAACACACCTATTCCAAGGATCAAACTCATGACCCTTAGATTGTCAGTTCGACGCGCTACAGATTCAGCTATTTCTATTTGTATATATAATTAGTTGAAATATTTGAAAAATTGGAAACAAAATTAAGGAAATATTCTTTTCTTGATTTTTTTTTTTTTTGCAACGTTTTTTCTTCACTCAGCTTAAATGCTCTGAAACTCATAATCAATGTAATATACCTTATTGCATAAAACACTTAATTATAAGCACTATTATATAAATAGATCAGTGTTAATTTATCAAATCGACATGATAAAAAGAAAATAATATTTATATTTTGATCAGTATAATTTTAACTTTATGCTATTTTTTTTCTACAGAGTGTTTTGTTTGATAATTACAACAACGATTGTTATCAGTTTTTCGGTAAGTAGACAATTGAAACTATATTTTAATGTTGAAACCGCTTCATCCTGGCTATAATTATCTTTTGTGGACAACATGATTGCTAATCCAAAATCCTCACCCTCAGGAGATGTACATATGATTAAGCTATTGGAAAGTAAAAATCTAGAAACATGATGTGAATTTGCATAAAGTCAGCGAAGTTAACTTAAGGAAATTTCAATGTTTTATTTCATTAATATCTATTTCTTCATTTCAAGGTAATAATACTAAAACGTCAAAGACAGGCTAGCAAGAACAAGAACGAAAAAACCGAAAATCTAACCCCAGAGCCAGAAACAAATTCTCAAATCAATGAACAAAACAAAAATCCAGAAGCACAACAAAAGCAATGATCAAAACACCGAAGTAACAAACAAAACCAAAAAAAAAAAAAAAATCAATGTTCGGAAGCTTCATTATTCTTTGGAGTCTCGAAAGTTCTGCATCGGATTGATCACAAATAAAACATTTATATAGAAAAGATAAAATAATACATGGATGTAAATTCTTCTATTGTAAAATTCTGTCTATTAATTTAGGATATCCACGTGTTTTAATCTTTATATATTGTATCTTGATAGATCTTGGACCCAAAGTCTGCCTTTTTGTGTTCTTTAGTAATATATTTCCTATGTATTTTACATACTTTGTCTTTTTATAGGCTTAATATGATCATACCTTAGACTATTTAGTAAGGTATGTTGATATCAACATTTGCTTATGCTTGTGTGTGTTTTGTAGAACTAGCATGTATTTTTTTTATTTCATTGATAAACTACAGGAGAATAAATGTCCATTTTCAAATTCTATGCACTCTTGACTCTTTTTATGAGGAAACAAAATAATCAAACGGTAAGGAAAGTATGCAACTAGTAATCGTAGTAACCTGACCTCAAATATTTTTTTTTGGTCAACGTTCCTAGCTTTATAATAATTCTAGTCAGGTTTAATGTTTTTCTAGTGAATTTATAAACATCTTGAAATGCTTAAGATTTTGAACTCGTTTGCGGATGTTAAAACTGATCAAGACACAGATTTCTTCATCATTTGTAATTTATCGGTGACACAAATATAAGCAGAGAGACAATATTCTGCCCTTTAATGAACGGATTTTCAAGTAAACCACTTCAGTGTTAAGAAATAAATTGTATAACAAACTTATAAGTACGTCTGAAATACTGTTTGGGAGCAAATCAAACGCAGACCGAGTTTGATTTACCTGTGATGGAGAAATAAGCACCCATAATAAGAGTACCAGTACAAGTGTTTAATGATAGAATATATAAACTCTGGATCCGGATCATTCAAAAACACTGTTAAAAGTCCATTAGAAAAATGCAAATCTGTAGCATAGCAAACATGGACCGTTAAAAACATGATGAACGACTAAGAATTTTGTGTCGAACAGTCACACCCACCGTGTAGTCCTTATCATGATGGGCAAACAGAAATTATATCAAGTCGACGTGAAGATAAAGTGGAAGATAAGAAGCTAGATTAAAAATGATGCTCGAGCTCCATAATAAAATAGTGCTTGATTACTTAAAGGATATATTGTACTTTAAGATATGCGCTGCGACACATCTAGATATGACCTGGGCTTAACATTAAAAACTGTTCAGCCCCGATATTAACTGAAATATGCTTACTATTCTAACTATCGTACTTGTACATGTAAAGGCTCACCAATTTTCTATTTAAGTGATTCACATGCGCATTTGAAATATGCTTTTAAAATTTAGTAATTAATGTAAAATATGGGAAAACAAATATATCAATCGTTTTAAAATTTATTTTTATTTCGTTGCTTATTATATATCTCAAAAAGCAATATATATAAAGATATAGATTCACTGGACTTATACACAAGTCATAAAATATGAAATTAGTTCTACAATTTTTCTCAATAATTAAATCTGTCTGCATCACATTCCATGAAAAACTTTAAAACAATTTTTTTTCTCATTTCAAATTTTCTTAAGGTCATAAGGCCTTTCTATTTGTTTTATTAGTATATATAAAGATAGGACTTTTCTTTAAATTCTACAATTTTTCAATCGCACTTCCACAATGACCGATTTATTTACCGATCCACATTTAGAGACAACGTTTAAAGTCAATTAAACTATAAGAACTTGAGATTATTCAAAACTTTAATTCGAACGTACGTAAATAAAATACATGTATATCATGTATATTTACACTTCATTCCGTTAAATTATTTTAATTTAAAGCTCAGATGAGCCATGTGTAGAAGTATTTTTAAAGCTTTTCCTTGTAATAACGGAATCTCGCTTGCTACAGCTCTGTATTCAGCCCTTTTCCTGCTGAAAGCTGAGTTTCTCTGACTTATCTAACTCTTTGTTGCGAAGAAGGATCTTGTGAAGTGTTGAGGGACATCTCCAACTGATGCTTGTTTAAGAGAAAATCCAATCTATTTTAATTAGTGAAGTGAGTGTAAATATAAACTAATAATCCAGGGTTTGAAAAAGGCATATACATCAATAAGAGAAAGACCGAGTCATGCCTAGATTAGTATGGAAAAACCAATGATTTTTCCAGACAAAGAAAAATTCTAATATGTTCGTTTATTTATTCACCATTCTAGGGACCCCAGTGCTGTGTACAATTAAAAACAAAATAATCATGACGACAACAGGTACATGTAATGGCTCTATTAGGTGCAATATTGACCTTATTTACACTTGCAAATCTTCTTACTAATAATCAAATTACTAGCAATATTCACATTAAAATATAATTTTTTTGACACCAGTCCATGCAGTATTTCTGTTGAATATGTAAATTTTACTATGTAATTAATATATAATCATTTTCAAAACCCGTTGGAACAATACTTAAAACACGGATTTCCGTGCAAATTCAAGTAAAGAACTATATGAGGTATATTGCATATATT